CTCTCTCTCTCTCTCTCTCCTCTCCCCCTCCCCCCACCTTTGGACGTGCCTAGTCTATGATTCTTAACACTTTCTGGAGCAGTTCAGGAAGCCTGCTCCCCCAAGTGTCTTTGCAAGATGTGATTAAAAATTATAGTGAATACTGAGTGCCATCCAATGGAAATCAGGCTCACGAAAGCATTATAGGATGTCTTCAGCCACCTGGTCAGCCACTCTGGTACCATGAAACTTTCTTTCTCAAAGTTAAAATGACCATGAAAGGTAAACATTTTGAATTGATTCTGGATGTTGAGGCAGATGTCACAGTGCAATAAAGACTCAGGAAAGAGAACTTCCAGAAGTGCCTCAGAAGTGATACGAATGGTGGGCTGGCTGTTTTCCTGGTTGGGGGGGGGATCTTAGGGGATAAATTATAATGTGTTCTTTAAAGTAATACTTTTTTAAAAAAAATTTAAACATTCATAGTATTTTTGGATCATACTTCATAGATAGTTCACTTACTCATTGTTATGTAGTATTTCATTGTGTGAATATTCCAGAAGGTGTCAGTTGGGCTGCTGCTGAGCATTTGGATACTTTCCATTTGGGAACTATTATAGTATTCCTACGAACATTGTAGTAACTATCTATTTTATTTTTTTTCCAGTACTGGGGATTGAACCCAGGGCCATCCCACTGAACTACAGCCCTAGTCTTTTTGAAAATTTTTTATTTATTTGGGGACAAGATCTCTCTAAATTACTAAATTTCCCAAATTGTAATCCTATTGTCTCAGCCTCCCATGCTGCACACAAGAGATGTGCAGTGGCACATGCAGGGTGTGGCTTGGCTGGGGTCTTTCGCTCAATATTTTAAAAGTGGTGATAGTGAACCTCCTTCAGGAAGCATGACTTCAGAGCCAAAAAGAAAAAAACTCTAATCTTGAGATCAAAACTAGGATCACCAGTAGTGGAGCAGATCAAAATCATGTACCACCTGCTGGAATGAGATGAAAACAGTCACTTCTGTAGGATGCCTATCAGAGATACTAGATGTACTGTTAATGGAAACCCAAGAAAGTTGCTGACAAATACAAACCAGAGGGCATCCTGCAAATTACTGGCCGGTAGTCTGTCAAAAGCTCAAGGTCATGAGAGTCAAAGAAAGACTGAGTAATGCTTCCGATATACAGAGGCATGGTGACACGCGACTTTGAACCGTGTTATTGGCTAAGTGGGCTTCTGAGACAACTGGACCAAGTTGAGCCCCGTTGGAGGGGTACATACTAGAAACATCAATGCTAATTGTCTGATTGTCGTGGCTGTGTGGGGGAATGTTCTTATTCATAGGAAATGCCCACCCAAGTGGCAATTTCAAGGTGTCAGAAATTTCCTCCCAGATGGTTCAGGGAAATATTTTTGTGCTATACGTACCTCTTTCCTATAACTTTGCTTTATGATTATTTTTTTTTTAAATCAAATCAAAGCTGGGGTCGCAGTGATGTTTAGTAATGGAATGCTTGTGTAGTATGCTCAAGGCCTAGGTTCAATCCCCAGTCCTGCAAAAAATAAATAAAAGTTAACTGTTGTAGTCTGGGCGTAGTGACAAAGTGCTGGGTGGGCGTGATGCTGCCTACACACCTGTGCTCGCAGCACAGAAGAAGCTGAGGCCGGCTGGTTCCAGAACAGCCTAGACTACATACAGAAGTCAAGGCCCATTTGAACTACACAGTGAGATCCTATCTCAAACAAACACCCTAGCTGTGGTGGTGCACGCCTGTTGTTCCAGTATCCAGAGGCTGAGGCAGGAGGATCACTGTTAGTTTGAGACCTTCCTGCGCTACAAAGTGAATTCAAGGTTAGCCTAGCCTGCATAGTCAGACCCTATCTCAAAAATCAATCAAACAGACAATTTTCATTAGCCCAATCTGATGAGGAGTTCAAAGCCAGCCTGGACTTGGAAAGCAACCTCATCTTACTGAAAGGAAGCAAAACACCAAACACAAAACACGCATTAACCCAAACCCCCAATCGATTTGCTTTATGCCCAAGGGGGCCACCAGGTGGAGTCCTTGGATCAGAGAGCTGGCTTTACTTGATTTTCCTTTTTAAAGGGAATTTAAAAATAAAGTTAAGCAACTTCCCCCTGCTTCATCACACAAGCTGGGATAGAAATAAAACCACAGGTGGTTTTATTCATGTTAGGGTATATCTATGAAGTGGGAAAAATTTTCGTTTCAGTTCTGTTTCTTTTGGCCAGAGTTTTTCAACCTGAGCCTTCCTGGCATTTTGGGCTCGCTGTCCTGTGAGTGCAAGATGTTTATAGCAGTGTCTCTGGACTCCGCCCTTAAGATGTGAGCACCAAGTGTGATTAAAAAAAAAAAAAGAAGAAGAATGTTTAAAATTTAAAAAAATGTATTACAGGAAAAGACACCCCGCCATCGATGCCTCAACATCCTCCCTTTGCTTGAAACACACTCACCCCGTCATCCTTGCCACTTGGTGAAGCAGCTCTGGAAGTCCTCTTGCGTGTCTGTAGTTGTGCTGTAGGGGCCACCTCCATGCCCTGAACTGACTCGCCTTTCACAGTCATTTTGACTTCTTGGAAGAATGAGCAGTCACACAGTGCCCGAGCCAGTGAGTAGGGTTTGTGAGGACACACTGTGGGTGTCTGAAAGCCTGCCTTCCTTTCATGGCAGTGAACAGTAGCACGCATTGCACTTTTGATCACACCTCCTAAAGACACTTGAGAAGGGACTTTGGAACTACTTCAGAAATTGGCAAGAATGACGAGGGGGCAGTATCTGGAGCGCTATCAGTGGCCTTGTGTCTTTATCGTAATGACATTTATTTTGGCGGTGGTTTTAGGGCAAATCTTACTATGCAGTGCAGCCTGATCTTGAACTCACTGTATAGTGCAGGCTGGTCTCAGACTCCCCCCCAATCTTTCTGCCTCATCCTCCCAAGTGCTGGGATTATAAGCACGTAGCACTATGCCCAGCAATGAGTTTTAAAAATATAAACAGGGCTCGCCAGAGAGCTCAGCAGACTAAAGGACCTGCTTAGGCAGACACAGGGACTGGTGTTCTATCAGCGTGCCACGCAGGCCCTGCCCCCGGGCTCACTGGTTGAGAGGACGATTGAGACTGGGTGTGGTGGTGCACGCCTGTAATCCCAGTACTTGGGAGGCGGAAAACAGGAGAATCACTGTGAGTGAGACCCTGTAGACCCTGTACTAAATACATACAAATAAAAAAAGTAAACACACTCTGCGTTTTCTGACCAGTTATGTTACTTCTCTGTAGTTGTCAGAAATGCCTCTAGACATTGTCAAAGCTGCCTGGAAGACAAACACCACTCTTGGTTGAGAATATACTTTTACAAGGAGAGCTTCTCTTCTGGTTTTTGTAGGTTGCGTATAGCAAGGCTAAGAGGTGTCTCATCATGGCAGGTCCCCAGTGGTGAGGGCTTTGGGTGGTGGGATTGAACTCCAGGACCTGAAGTGTACGCTCGTCGGTGATGTATCACCTAAGGGTGCTGTTCTGTGCATGGATAGACAATAGAGCCTAGGTGTCAGGAAAGGTCTTAGACAACAGTCAGGATGGTAAAGCCTGGGGTTCCCAGAAGAAAATCAGCATAAAGGTCAAGGGGACCATTTTAACTCCTCCTTTGCCAAGCCCCCA